GTATATTTACCCGAGGTTTGTTACGAAACATTCATCATCCTAACTCTAGTTATGCCATGAGCTCATTACTTCAGGTTGATTTTACTTAGCTGCGTTTTACGCTATATGCTCTTCAAGTATACAATGCGGCCATTAACTCCAAGAAACAGGGACGGCCATCTATTAAAAGGCACACACCACGGAGTTTTAGTTTAGTAGGGTAGTTTGAACCCAGTGCTAGTGAACGACACCCACGCATACGGTCACTTTCCACATTCCAGACATGTGCGTTTGTATCTATACACGGAGCACAACACAAACAACGTACAGACACAGTAACAGTTCTGTACCGGAACGAATGACTATATCACCAGTATCGTAGATCACGCACAAAATGCCCCCTCCCCCCGATCGACATATTGTCGCCCTTTCAACAAGGGTCTGACGAGTTCAACACCTGCTGGCAAGCGACTGTGCTGACCCAAACACAAAGTAATCTTGTATTGAACCCGATTCAGGTTGTTTCAGGAACCCATTATAGCATCATTTCCGTTCTGTTCAGTAAACATTTAATTCCAGCGGGCAACCTTGATTTGATTGCAGCAGTGGACGTTTTTCAGTCAGAGAAATGGGTGACTGTTTACAATTCTCGGGGCTTGGCTGTTTACCAAATTTGCAGATGCTAGTTCTCTTGACTGGAAGATGAATTGCGACATCCAAATTAGACAGTTATGTCCCAAGGGCGGTTTTCGTCTATAACTTGCCAAGCTTGTCTACAAGCTGAGTCCTGGTTTCCGAATTAACGAAACTACTAGGCTCAGTGACCGAGAGCGAGTAGGTTCCAAATGGATGGTGTGAGTCAGTCATCTTACCGACCTACAAAAACGGCGACAGATCCTCTTATGAAAATCACAGACAAATTAGTTTAATCAACATTATCTCTGAATTTCTGGCTGGATAAAACTCCGTCAATTGTCTGACGCACGCGAGGAGTGCTCGCGTGAGAGTCAGGCTAGTTTTAGATCCGGTCGAGGTTGTATGGACTACATCACCGCCACGCAAAACCCCTCAATCGATGAAACGCACGANCGCACGAAAAACCACTCCAATTTATCTTTTCTCAATGAGTTACAGTTAATGAATGGTACTGAGATTTTTTTCTTATTTGGCATATGGACCCTTCTGACGGAGAACAAATGCAGTCAATTATGGAACGCCTGATGCTGATTGAGCGCCGGGCGTCTGTGCGACAGTCCCACTGTGTCGTTTGACTGCTTTTAGGAAAATGAAATCCAGCGTCGGAAATCACATACTGGCGACCAACTTGACAATGCCACTAGTATTTCTAATCGACCGCCGTGCACGTACCTATCACCTAAACATGACCTACAAGCTAGTAGTTAATACCTTCATAGGTTTTAATAAAACATCCGTCACGAAAAACAACGAGCGGCGAAATGCTTCTTAAAAGTACATCAGGATTGATGTAGGTGTCCAGGATTCAATTGACTTTCAGTACATCTACATAGCGCTGCTAATTCTACCACTCCCGTAGGATCCAAACAGTGACATGATACGAACCTCATCGTTTGTCCGTAACGGCACACAGAAGGTTCGTTTTAGTCATCACAACATACCCCAAGAGTGACGCATCCAGGACATCACTGCGTAATGAGAACTAGCACAGGACAATCTGAAATCTCTTTAAACACGATAACAACCGGTTTGAAATTCGACCAATTGATGTGCTCCTTTTTTATACATAGCGCAGTTTGAAACAGAACCAAGGCGTAAAGCGTAATTCAAATTTAGTATAGCCAGGGAAACCTTTGAGATTGGACAGGCGTTCAACTTGCAAGCGCGACATTCAAAGAACAGTATCGTCGGTACAACACTTGTGGTGGTTAGGTTTTTTCAAGTGGTTTCATTTCTGAAGGCATCATAAGCCTTCGTATGTTTCAACCCACAAATAGACAGACACTACCCAGACGATCCATCGCACGGCGATAGCTCTACTAGTTGAAGTAAGAGACCGTAGCGAGAACTCAAATCTGTTCACATCATTGCCCACCCTTACGGAGTCACATGGATCCATGAGGATGTGGACCTATCAAAATACCTTCATCGAATGTATCTAACAGCAAAGCTTGAAACATTAGGAAAATGATGGAGTGAAAATATTGCAACGTATATCGTAGGCGGGACCTGACATCAGACGGAAAACCCATGAACACAGTACATCCAATTCGCATACCATTTTTTGTATCGAACTCCGTAGTTTCGTAGGAAGCCGTGGTCCTAAATTTGGTTTAAATTCACTTGGAGTCACTCATTGTTTGATAGAAACCTACATGTCATCAGCAGATGTGGGGAAACACTGAACTTAATTGGCAGTTATTCAACTTCAGTTGTTTTCACTTGGGCTTGTAAAAGCACATTCTGGAAAGACGAGATTGAATTCGATTAGTTGGTTTTCTAACCAAAACCAGAACTTATTGATTCTTTGGTGAACGATGTTGGTCACCACAGATTGAAGTCCTCTTTCAAAAGTTACTTACCTAGGATGGGAGTATCTCATTACCTTATGAAGAATTACCTGAGGGTTCTCTCAGTCAGGTGTTTCGATTTATCAGAAAATACCTCATTAACTAAACAACAAAAAATAATAACATCAGATATAAGGCTATTTCTTAGATTCGAAACTCCCTTTACATTAATTACTAGGAATAGGTCGTAAATAAAATGGTAAACCGTGCAGAAAATAACTCCTCCAACCTGGATTCGCATAACTGAGGGCACTATATGTGGAAAATACAAACAATGTATCTCTTTCATCAAGATAAATCAGAGGACAGCACCAGACACATTGACAATCATCGACATTGATTGTATAGGCGATCGAGAGGCAACTGATTGGTGTGCCAGCCCAGTCTGTTAGACAAGCGTGAATGTCAACGACAATATCAATCAATAATATCTTCCATATTGCATATTGGAGCCTGATCGAGATCACGAACTACACGGTTGTGTTTCCGTAACCACTGCCTTGAAAAGAATACGAGAAAGAAAACAGTCCCATTGATAAAGCGAACTGAAGCACGCATACAAAACACACACTTAGTGGTTGAGGTGGCGCTCCTGGAATTTTCACGCTAGCACAAGACCGTTTGTCACAGCAGAGGGAAACTGAGATCACATCGATCCAGATGAGGACGCGATGCGGTTCGTTGTGATCCGCCTTGGCAAACAAACTGCGCAAATGATGCGCGCAGAACTACGAGGCACCAGCTGAGTCAAAGGAAGTATTTCTTGATTGTATCTACTGGTATCTACTGACAACAGCACACTGCTATCACGCAGTCTTGGCGGTACTACGCCACCATATAGTCGGTCAGATTGAGCAGCCGCATGCGTGTTTTTATCTGTCTGAGCATTGTTACTCGTCGCCCGTCGTCTTTCAGCGCTCCGCTTAGTTTTTACCGCACAGTAGGACTGTGATTGAAGCACTACTGAGTCCCGCATGCAGGCGAATGCATACACGCACACGAAAGCGTAGAATGCGTGTTAGTTGGACTTTCTATTATTTTGTAGGTATGCGCGCACACACACACGTAGGTAAAGGTGCATGCAAGTACCAGAGTGTATCAAGCAAGCACCCAGCGGTAGCAGCCGCTGCCGCGACATGCCACATTGTGTGTACTAATCGCGGAGGCAATCGCGCAGACACTGTTCATGTATGCGCGCGCGCAGGTGTATCCGCGAGCGAAGATCGTAGTGCCAGCAGAGAACATGGGAGGATCGATAGAGAGGATCAGGCCACGAACGAGTGTATGCGTGTGTGTACGTGCATAAGTTTAGGTCTGTGCGCGTATACACTGCCAGTATGTGCTGCGCCGCACGCGTATTTCCGCACATCGAGACAACACAGGCTACTTGGCACAGTCAGACGCCCAATAAGGACGTCTCATGAAGGTTCGATGGACTGGAAGCTCGACAAATGACTGATTGAATGAATGATGCACTGACTGACAACGCGCACGCACATACTGAACACTGCTGTGTAGCTGGACCCGGGGTCGATCAATTCAGAGCTAAGGTGAGCAGCGGTTGCGTGTATCACATACTATGCCAGCAGGCACAAATTGAGTGCCATTTGATTCAACCGATTTCTGATCTAACAACAATCCGTCAACCTTAAACCAGTCCAATACGGGGCACTGAAACAATCTCAGAACGGACAATGAAACGATGTCAATGAATATGAATAAACGTATGTGCGTGAAAGTGCGTAAGAACAGGGGACAGAGCATGAATATACTCGCCGGTGTGTACAACAATGGAATGCCAGAAACAGCCCAAAAGTAGCCATGACGTGAATAGAGATAGTTAACTAATCGTCGCCAATGTGACGAACAGGCAAATATGGAAAAAAGAGAAAAAAACAATGAGAAAGCTTTTCCAAGGCTCTAACACCCTCAGACTGTGAAACAAAACAGGGGTAGGGAATCAATAATGCTAGTGAAGTAACTTCAAGGCACCCAGGGTTGGATGAGTTTGGGTCATGGTAGGACGTAATCTACGGAAATGAGAACTTCAGTTCAGGCTGAATAGATGAGATACAAGATACTGGATAAATGGAGAAGGGCGATGTGTGATAAAGGCGGAGAAGTAACGACACTCGTTCCTCATAAAGCCTATCCGAAAAAATGAATGGACATTGGTACATTGATCACTGAGCTAAGGAATCCACAACAAGATGAACGACACTGTATTAGGCACCGACCGACCAAAAACAAACACTTGGCACCCAATTCCCGTGACTATAAGCTCAGTGTGTTTGATTGCGAGTGACTGGTGTATGGATAAGCTCAATATTCAAATATTCATTCCTCAAAGGAACAGAAGCAGCTGTGCAATATACAGCCTAAAGATATTTCTGCAAGTGAGGGGGGGGAGAGAGATTATTTACAAAATGATCAAAGAAAATAGACCGCATAATTGGTCCGCACAGCGCTAGAGGTCTATGTCGAAGTCGGACAAGGTCTCTTCGATTTCAGAATCATGGACCGACGACTACGAGACCCGGAAACGGAGATCCCCGAGGCGGCCTCAGTTGTGCTCAAGCCCTCTTCTATTTTTTGAGAATCTGCTGGTGAAGACTGACCAGAGTCTGATTCGGAAATGAACGCTTTTGGGCGAGGAATAGTTAGAATGATAGGTGGACGGGATACATCGTTAGTTTCTCGTTGTGGTGCACGAATTGAGTTTGACCCTGGTGCAGAAGGATGTCCGTTCAGAGGAACGGCGATGCAAGGTGGGTCATGGGGTGAGTGAGATATCACAGCGGTCGGAGAAAACGCTTGCTCTGAATCCATGTCCAGACTGCCCCGATGACGTTTACGGGGAATGTCCTGTGAGGCTGGGAATGAATAGGGAGAAGAAGAGGCGTTGCTCTCCACGGAACAGCGTCGACGGCGTAATACACGGGATCCAACAGTCAGTTCACTGTCATTTGGTGAAGTGGCTGTGGTGGTGGGTTTGGTCCCGTTCTTCTTGGTGGCACCGGATTGTGTGGACAATTGACTTGTGTTTACTGAGTAGTCGTCCCTGCTCAGACGACTTGCATTCATTGCTAAGGATTTGAACCGCTCCGGAACATGAGCATGTACACCTAAAATGTGTTTGCGCACATCACCAAACCCATGTTGAGATGTGGTCAGGCAAGAACAACAAACGTACAACCGTTGATTTGGATTGGTCGAGGTTCTGAGACGGATGATGTAGACTGAATGACGACTGTAAACACGCATCCGTTCATGCAGGGTTTCCACAAAACTGTCATCACTTGGCAAGGCACTTTGCAGTTGCTCGTCTAAGAGTTCTGGACTGTAGGCCAATCGGACAATGCGTTCCAGCATCCATGTTTCGGGTAAAGACAGTTTATTTCGCCAAGAGACAGCTTCATCTGGTGTTAAGGCTCGTCGTGGGACATTCAAGTCTAAGCCCCAGTGGTGATCTTCCGGCGGTGGTTTAACTAGCTGGGTATCCGATTTAATCAATTCACCGTTATCCGGAGACGCTTTTGTCTGAGGAGTTTTATTTGCATCACGTAATATAACGGCATTATGGCTGTCGTCCGACTGCGCAGGAGAATCTGCGTCGTGCCCTAGTTTAGGAGCTCGATGCATAGGAGGGAGTGAGCGCGTGGCAGAATAGTTGGTTTGACGGAGAGCCACTTGGCTAGGAGCGTTGTGATTAAACACGGGAACTGGCTTGACAGAGGCAGTCACACTGGACATAGGTGAACGTGGCTCGCGGATATTGGTAAAGTTATTCCATCTCTCTTCGGAACCAGTAGCTTCAGAATTTCGTGGAACTGGGGATAAACTTTCCTCTGACTGTCGAGCACCGGAAACGGACGGACGGGAGCAGCGATACTTGTACTGCTCGGCTAATGCAAGCAAGGAATTGTCTGAATACAACCGATAGCCTGATTCTTTTGAAATCCGCGACGCTTGGCAGCACAAAGTTAGTAGTTCCTGGGGAATCCGCGCATGTACTCCCAAAATGTGCCTTCTGCAATCGGCTAAGCTCGCTGGTCGAATATCAGTGTCGGTTTCATCACGAACAACCTGAAGAGAAAGAAGAAATTTAAAAAAAATAGTTCAGCTGGGTGAAGAAATACAAACAAGCCATTTCGATAGAAAACCATAGACCGGGTTCATGACCTCTAAGGAGTTCACAAAAATTACAATGCACGTTAGATTAGCATTGATAGTGAAACACTGACTCAGTTAAATTAAATTTTATGGCCCTCACAATAAAAGCATTACGTAGTTTCTTATTGCCGTCGTTGATTTCGGTAACCTGAATCACATAAACAATTTTGCTGCTAACACAACTCGAATGAGACAGCTCTATTCTGTGATATAAAACAGTTTGCAGCAGGACACGAACGGTTATCCGTGTCGATAATTCGTAAGGACGTATTCAAACCCCACCACAGCTACCTCTTTCAAGGGAAATGATTACTGGCAACAGTCACGCAGTGCCTTTTAAAACCTGGTGCGGTTCCGTAACTGTTCCCAGGGCTGTGATTGAGTGTCCTCCTGAAAACGCCTTGAACATCTAGGACCATTAGGTGGGGCACGAAAGAAAATTCAAAACACCTTATTTAAAGAGCGGCCGGTAGGACACAGGTAACATTAACCCTTGAATGTCTCTAACACACCAGAGTGATAAACAGCTGAAGGGGTAGACGCCATGGTGACGAGGATCTGCTGTTCGGTCTTAGTGACCGGCAACCCAATCCACAGAACTTGGATGGGCGACTCACACCAGGCCACACCAGGATAGGTGTCGTACCGAGACGGATGAGAGAAGCTGTTTACAACGAAAGTTGGGTGGCACTTAAAAAGTTCGAACCTCGGGGTCCAAAGTACGTCACTGGCAGCGACTATAAGCTGATATTATGCATTGGAAAAATCCTCGAATTAAAGGCTGATTGCGAGTTGTTACACTGATCAAAAGTGTAAACATAGAAACTAATTATGGCTTGAACATACCACCACGGGTTTTATTTCTTTTAAAAACTTGAGTAGATTTTCGAAGCAATAAATAAAAGCCGTCAAAATGTAGAACAACACAAACTATGCATTCAGAGATCTAGAAAGCTCACAAAAAGTGAATACAGAAGTGAAATTCACCTATTTACAACGATTCAGCTATACCGTTACATGCTGCCCATGCCTCAACAAACTTGTGTCAAGTGGCCAGCTGACTTACCAAGAAACGGCGTCCACAAACACAAATATACGAACAGATCCGACCGCCGCGAGAGACGACTGTCAGATGGTGTCGATTATAATAGTTCATCCGTTCCAGAATATCGTCGTATTGATCGCTTAATCCTTCACGTTTCATAAGTAGCCGAAGTACGTGCGGGGAGAAGGGTAACTCGATCTTTCGGTGCACTTCGCCTGGTTGTCGTTCCGAGTCATCGGTGTGTGTGTTCAAAATATCATTCATACTCGTAGCGGGTGTGTCTGCGGCGGGAGACGGTGAACGACTGGCTGCTTTCAAGAAGCGGCGATCACATTCGCGATCAGAGGCATCTAAGATCTCGGACTGTTCTTCATCATATTCTTCTGTGTACGGATCGGCTTCTATTGTGTCGGTCTCCAGTTGTTCCTCCTGCAAATTCATACTGATGGGTCCGGATGAACGATCACCATTTTTCATTTCCGTGACACCTCCATTCGCCAACGTTTCCCGCAGTCGGTCTGTGCTATGATTGAGATGATTATCTGTAACACTAGAACGGCGGCTGTCATCAGCAGCACTGGTCTTAGTCTCACTGGCTCCTTGAATTTGACGTCTACGATGGTCTTCAACAAACCGAATCATCCGTTCGTCCGTGTGTAATCGGTATGTGGTGATATCGTGACGTGAGGCACGCAAGCAAAGTCTAAATCGTTTAGTTGAAATTCCACAATGGGATCCCATAATATGTTTGCGAATGTCGGCTAGTGAGTGGACCGAAGTGTACAAACAGGTGGGACAAGAAAATCGCTTCTGTGCACCACCGGGTACCAGGAGTTCCATGATCACATACTGACGAGCATAATGATTCATACGGTTCACTAGCTGTATTCGTTCAGCCATAGGAACCTGGTATGCTTCAAGGAGGCGTTTAAACACCGGATATGAATAAGCCAATTGAATGCGTTGTTTACCAACCTTCGGAAGAAACAATTCTGTAGTGCCATTCATTTCTGTCGACTGAGGCTGATTAGCCGCAATGACTGCTGCTCCGACCGGTCGGTCGTGTTCATCTAAAGGAATGATTCCCCCGCGACCGGCAGGGGCTTCACGAGCTACCTCGTCGAGAGACTTCAAATCCTCAAAACGATCTGAGATTCCTGTACCGGGTATGATACGATGAACCGGTGCACTACCCGTGTATGATGACGATGGGGAACTGACCAGTGTGGGTAAACCATCTGGAGTCACTGTAGCCAATGGGATAGGAGAGTGAGTTTTTGATATGCGATTTTCCTTTGCATTTGGTTGTGTGAATCCGGGAATACGTCGAACACTAGAATTATGCAAGCTGGAGAAGGTGAATGCACGCTTTTTGAAGTTTTTAATCACCTGGGTTCTGGACGCCCGCGTCGTAAACGAGTACTTGGAATTTCGTGCAATACCGGAATCACCATCTGTTTGTTTCAATGCTGCTCCAACTGCACTACCGGTGCTGCAGATACTACGACCTGAATGAGTAAACTCGATCGCGAATCGGATGATGTCTCGTCTAAGACCCAGATGTGTGACGAGAAGATGCTTTTTCAAATCGGTGAATCCATGATTGAAAGGTTTCAAACACTCCGGACAGCCAGCTACTCGACGCTGATTCGCCCGACCGAGAATGGGAACACGATAGTGGGCAAACTGACGCATTTTTTCCAATACAGATGACAATTCTTTTTGGTGTAACGGTCTACCGGTGGCATTAAGTTTTCCATTTTTCACGTAGGCGGATAAGAAGGCAGCTTCGTTGAAATACAACTGCACATACTCATCCGCTTGGGCTTCTATGTCTGATTTTAGCTGATCAATTGACAAACTAGAGTCTGTGTCAAGGGTAGGAAACAAACAAGCACCACTGCTGCTGGATCGGGAATTGTGACCAGTCACGCTAACACCAAGTGACTCGGTCGGTTCAATAGGCTTTTCCAACGTCTGGAGATCACGGACCGGGGAAAGAAGTGATGGTTGCGGCTCAACCGGTGGAGAAAATGGTTTGGTTGGTGTGAGCTGAGGAAAGGCACTGGGATTAAGAGTGCAACCAGCCGAAGAGACCAGCGAGGACATTGCAGCTGAAGAAAATAGACCACTTAAAGCCTGGAGCCGAGAAGTCACTTCAGCCAAACAAACAGCAGCAGCACCATTGCCTGCTGTAGATGGCATGTCTCCACTAGAAGACGGTGCGCCAGGAACAACAGACTCCTCCGAGACAGGGACTGTGAATTCTTCGGGAATCATCCCATCCGACTGTGATAAAAAAGATAAACAAAGTAGTACGCATCAGATTTGTAAACAAATGCGATAGGATTTGCATTTGGGGTTGAGTACCGTGATGCTGATCGCGGAGTTTGCCCATGGGGTTAAAAACGGAACAACATTTTAAGACACGCAAATAACAGCTAATGATGAAATACAAACACTCTTATGATTGAAATCGGTAAGTAACTCAATAACTGCCAAAACAGCAATATATGATGCACAGAAAATGAATGCATACAGTTATTTCATAAGTAACGCAACTGACTATTTTATAAGAGTACCTTTGGCACACGCATTTTTACCTTCCTGAGATACAAAACTCAAGGGAGGTACAAGTTGGGACAGTATGAACATGATATACTGTGCCCCGGCAAACTGCTCTTTAGCCCCTTTTACTTCTTCCTAACGAGAACGCAATTTCAGTCGACTTTTAGGGCAGGGAAGAGATCAACCACAAGTTACAATGAGGTGAGAAAGTTAGGTGATGTGATAGTGACCTACATCGCTTGCACAAGTAACCAACCCCTACACCATAAAAGATTATTTCAAAAGACGGGGCTACACTTTAACCAGGTATCAACTTTGTAAAAAGATATGATTTCAGCACGAGGACTATGGCGGTAACCTTCTACCATGGGACAAGTGGCTTTAATGTCAAATTCGCAGATAACTCTATATTGTTCAGTTAAGACCCAATGTGAATAGTACACTTTTCTGGGTGATAGCAATGCCTGTTCATCTATTTTAAGCATCCACCTTACATCTACAGACTGTAAAAAGCTTTAATAGAACTGATTTGGCCAAGTCCCGACTTCACGCTACGTCGGTGGCTACATCCTTCGTGCAGGACATTTTGGCACGAATAAAGGATGCACAGTTGACATTAGCCAACTTGGGACACCTCTGGGGCCGCTGCAACGTTTGGTTCATGCTACTATATGATGAAGAAACTTGCTCGTCACGAGAGGAGGATAAAAACAGACTGCCTGTGTTAGAACATCGCTGCCCACGACGCATTTTACCAGTTTTGAGCGGTAATCAGACAAGTAATTTCCAGGATGAGTGCAGTTTTAGGCAATCGCAGTCACACGGAGATGCAAAGCTTGAGTCTCTCTGATGGGGGTCTTGGGTTTTAGCTGGTCACCCCTCCCTAGCACTTCGCGAAATGTTCCCATTAGACCACGCATTTCAAATAGCTTCTGTTGATGAAGCTTTACTCAGTCTTGTCGTGGCAGAGGTTTCCCCACCAACGGAGGATAAAAAGCTTAGATCCGGGACTATAACCGGGTCGGTGAACCACTGGCAGTTCACTAAAAACCCTGGTCTCAAACCAACCAGGAGATGTACGAACCACACGCGGTGGCTGTGGTTACCGACTCGATTGGGCACGGAGGTATATTGGCCACCTTGGACGTTTGAAATCGTCCAAAGGGTGAATAATCCGATAAACTGAGCACCGCTGGCCAATGCATTTAAATTTTGGCACACGGTCCCACTGCTTTATGGGTCAAACTTTGACTAGTCATAGGCTACGGTTGTGAATTCCCTGGGAAAATCCGCTTGCTTTGGCCTGGGAAACCTAGCAGTATCGCGTACTCGAGCAAATTATGGAACCTCTCCTTTTATAAGGATTTTCGCACTGTAATTTGTTTGACTAGGTCTGGACTCAGATGTATGTAACCCCTAACCAAGGGACTCACTCATGAGTCATGAGACAATGGAGACACTGGGTGATTAGGCTGATTGTTATAAACGGTAATTCCGAGGCATCTACTCACTTACTACGCTTCTAACGAAGGTTGAGTTTACTTACTTTTGTAGATTTATTTCGATAGTGACTTTAGCATTGCAATTTGCCATTTACTCTTTCTCCATTAAAGGAGTAGTAATAAGGCAGTAACAAAAACTGTCGCACTAACGTGCAAATTTAATCGCTGCATAAACTGAAACCAAGAAGCGAATTCTTGTAAAGGAAGGTTTCTGAAGCACAGCAGTTTTTCCTGCAGGTAAGAGGTACTAAACACTGTCCTCCTAGCTCACAGTAAAGACCATTAAAACTAAGCCCGTTTTCACGTAGAATTCAGATCAGTAGGCTTCGCTGGTTATGTCACATTGTGTATGCTCAGCTGTCGTCCACCGCACTGCACCGCTCTAGGATAGAGAAAACCACCCGGTGACAAGCAGATGATGTGGAAACGAGGATTGAAGAAATGCAGAGCGATTAGGTAGAGCAGGTGCCTCCCGTCTTCCGGGTTGGGGTTCAAAAGCTTCTGCAACTGG